CTTCATTACATGACTTCTATAATAAGAACTGAAGTGTGTCTTATGCCAGTTACTTACAAGCAGAACATCTTTCCATTTCTCCACGGATTTTGGAGTGTTCTGGGCCCTGCTTTACTTTTCGTGACTCCTATCAGGTGGATGAGTAAGGAGCCACGGCATGCCCACATTCCTCTGTAATGTGTTTGATATTCTTAAGGGATGATTTTACCCATGCATGTCTTTTTTAGAATTTTAATCTTACTGTGAACAAAAGGAACGTGAATCCTTATAGGTAATCTAGTTCTTTTTCAGTGCTAATTGGAAAAATGTCCAAACTGAACTATGTCTATATTAAAACTTTTTTTTTTTTTAAAGATTTTTTTTTTATTTTTTTCCTTTTTCTCCCCAAAGCCCTCCGGTACATAGTTGTATATTCTTCGTTGTCGGTCCTTCTAGTTGTGGCATGTGGGACGCTGCCTCAGCGCGGTTTGATGAGCAGTGCCATGTCCGCACCCAGGATTCGAACCAACGAAACACTGGGCCGCCTGCAGCGGAGCGTGCGAACTTAACCGCTCGGCCACGGGACCAGCCCTATATTAAAACTTTTGAATTATAAAATTATCAAAAATATGAGATCCTGAAGCAATGAAAATTGGTACACTTCCGTCTTTAAGCATTTTAATGACTATATGTAAAAATGAAATATCTTATTAATATGGCATGGTGATTTATGTTCCTTCATTATCTTTATCTTTGGAATTAGTTGCTTGATAGAAACTTAAGATGACCATAAAATAACCTTTGTATGATTTGCTATAGGGATTTAAAGATGCATTTGCTTTTGTCTTCTCTAATCATCTCATTATTAAAACCAAAGTTACATCTTTTTATGCCTAATGAATTCATTCTTAGGAGGTGATCAAATATTATCTCTGGACCACGTTATCACGGTTTAGAACATGGACTCTGGTGCCAATATTTATTAGCTCTGTGACATTTGGCAAGTATCTTAACTGTCTGTTCTTTAGTTTCCTCAAATGTAAAGTGGGGATAACCACAGTACCCACCTCATAGGATTTTCCCAAGGGTTAAGAGTTCAAAATGTAAAGTTCTTAGAAGAGTCCTGGGGACAATGCTGCTGCTGTGAATGTTAGCTATTTTTATTATAATCTAGACGCAATCACAGCTACCGCCATTGAAAATTTTTTTGCTGATTTGCTTCTCATTATTAGAGTGCCCTTTATGTATAAGGGATATGATATAATACATCATATACATATTATATAAATTGTTACAATGTTATCCCAAACCCAGTGATGAGGGTATTAGTACTCTCCATATGAGAAGCTAAGACAAGTGAAATAATTGTTCAAATTCATAAGGTAGTAAGTGACAGAACTGGGATTTGAATCCGCATCTGTTACTAGAGTCCATGCTCTTTCCATTATATCACTCAGCATGATGCCACAACTCTCTATAAAATCCACTACTGTAACCTCATTCTGCCATCACCAAACCAGAGCTTCATCTTTTTTGGTACACCGGCAAGATTGTACTTATAGCAGCAATGTGGTACCTCTGTACTGGGGTTAAACTGTAGGTATCTGATGACGTGAATGATTTACTGCTGCTTATCTCAGCTTACCTGAGATAATTTGTCAATCAATACCCGGCCTTTTGGTTTTCTCTATGTCATCCCTCCCAGTTACCAGTTTCACATGAGTGTTTACAAATGCCTATTTCTAACTCTCTGGGCAGTCTCTTGGCAGGAAGGTGATACACAAAATAAAATGCCTACAAATCAATATAATCAATATTGCACAAGATTCCTGGAGTTTAAGTAGGAATGGGAGGCAAATGGCCACTTTCCGAGGTGGGGAGAAGAGGGGTAGTTGCTGGGAACATTCTTCTGAGACCTGAAAATAATGGAGGTTTTGATTGTGCTCATTCAAAGACCTATGCCCCGTCTAGGTCTGGATGTTCATGAAGCCAGCATTCTCCGGTCACTCCAATCCAGCAGGCTCACTACTGCCTCCTCCCACCTCTTATAGTAGCCTTGAGTGATAAAGTACCTGCTTTTAGTCTGGATTGTTTTATGTATTGTCCAATCTATCCAACAAAATGGTAAATTCCATGTCTTGTCTTTTATCCTCTGCCAAGTAGGGACCATGTAGTGACCATTATCTTCATTTTTTCATTATGGTAAGATATACATAACATAAAATTTACCATTTTAAACCATTTTTAAATGTACAGTTCAGTAGTATGAAGCTCATTTACATTATTGTGAAACTTTCACCATCTCCAGAACTTTTTCATGATCCCAAACTGAAACTCTGTACCCATTAAGCAATAACTTCCCATTCCTCCCTCCCCTCAATCCCTGGCAATCACCATTCTACTTTCTGTTTCTATGAATTTGACTACTCTTATATAAGGAGAATCAATCACACACCTTTTGTCCTTTTGTGTCTAGCTTAGTTCATTTAGAATAATGTGTTCAAGCTTCATCCCTGTTGTAGCATGTGTCAGAACTTCATTCCTTTTTAAGGTAGAATAATATTCTATTGTGTGTATATACCACATTTTGCTTGTCCATCCATCCATAGATGGACATTTGGGTTGTTTCCACCTTTTGGCTATTATGAATAATGCTGCGGGGCCGGCCCCGTGGCTGAGTGGTTAAGTTCGCGCACTCCACTGCAGGCGGCCCAGTGTTTCGTCGGTTCGAATCCTGGGCGCAGACGTGGCACTGCTCATCCAGCCACGCTGAGGTGGCGTCCCACATGCCACAACTAGAAGGACCCACAACTAAGAATATAGAACTATGTACTGGGGTGCTTTGGGGGGGGGGAAGGAAAAAATAAAATCTTAAAAAAAAAATAATGCTGCTGCTATGAGTGTTGGTGTACAAAGTTGTGTTTGAATCCCTGCAATCAATTCTTTAGAGCACATACTCCAAGAGTGGAATTGCTGGGTCACATGGTAATTCTATGTTTAATTTTTTTGAGGAACCAATATACTATTTTCTACTGTGCTGCAATATTTTACATTCCCACCAGCAATGCACAAGGGTTCCACTTTCTCCATATCCTCCCAACACTTATTTACCATCATTCTTCTGACTTAATCCTCATTAAAAATGAATAATTACTACTCTAACTAGCTCTGCATTTCACAGTTGACAATTTTTTTTGCGTACGTTACCCCTTTTAACCTTCATAATAATCTTTGGTTTAAGAATTACATTTATATTACAAAGGAAGAAATTGAAGCTTAAAGGTGTTACATCATTTGCCCAAGATCACAGAGCTAATATATGGAAAAGTCAAATACATAACTTTACCCCTAGTTCTTTCTATTATTTGAAGAATTAAACAGTCTATGTTCTTCAAGATTCTTTCCTGCATCCTCTGTTCGCTCTAAATCATAACAAAAGGCAAGCTCATACATCGAGAACAGATTCCAGAAAAGGATACCTGCTGTTCTCTCATATCTCCCAAAGTATCAAAGAAAATAAATGGCTTAATAAGCAGCAGGAAGGATTTAGGTTCGATATTAACTGGGTGGCTGGTTTTGGTGAGACATTAGAAAAGATTACCAAAGGATATTTCGAGATGATTCAACTCTTGAAAAATACTATGGATTGGATTCCAACCCAGAACATGCCTGAGGGCACAGGAAGTAATTCAATGAATCTTTTGTTAATTTTTGAAAGCAGGGGATAAACTGGATGATGTCACTAGCTTCTTTGAGTTCTCTGAATCTATCACAAAGATTCTCCTGAATGGATCTGTACTACTCAAGAAAGTTGCTCTTTGGTATTTGGGGATGGATCTTGTTTTCTTGACCCCTTCATCCTTGATCTCTGGAGAATGCAGATCCCCCACTTGATTCCATTTTATACCCTCAGAGTTCACCAAGCATCAGGGGAGAGGTCAGAGATGACCTAACTCACCTGGGGTCCTGAGCCACTCCTTGGGCAGTTAACTTTTTATAGTATTGTTGATTTGGTTTCAATCTGCTCCCCAGGGAGATTTGAAGGAGTTGCAATTATGGCCTGAGATTAAAGGGGACAGCTTCAATTTCCAAACTTTATGGGTTGTCAGTGCTGTAGCATAAAGAAAGGACAAGGTAGCTGGTTTAAGACAGTAAGCCTAGAAGAAAATAACCTAGTGGGGAAACAAAATTATCTGGGTATTTATCTAGATGCTGCTACCAATCGGCTATCTGCCTTGGAGCAGCAGTCTGTAGGGTATTTAGAAGTTCATGTGATTTCACTCACGCTGGGCAGTCCCTCCCCTCTCCTGCAGAACTGTAAATTGTATACCTTTTAGTGACCCTGTAAGCAAGACTAATTCTGCTTCCTTGATGTGTTTAATATCCATGTGTTCTAGTTTCTTCTCCATTCAAAAGGAAGAATCATAACTTCCCACCTCCCTGTTGCCAGAAAGCTCAATAATAAACCTTTTTGAAAAGTAACATGCATTCCAAGCAATTTAGAGAACTTTTTGGGAGAATGTTGAAATAAGAAAAAACTATATTAGAAATTATTTAACAAAATGCTGGCTGAAAAATTAAGGTAATGTGCTATGCGAACAAAAGTGGTAATAAATGAGTAATGCACATCTGAAACTAAAAATGATAAAAAGAAGCAAATTACTACAAAAAAAAAAAGCAAAAGTACTGCCTTTCACCCACAGCCTCTTTCTTTCCTTTCTCATTCTTTGAAGTTCTCCAACAAGGGGGGCATACCCCTACGCTGTAAATGACCAGCAAAGAACTGGGTTTAGAGGGGCCATCGGGAAGCATCACTTTAGTGAACAGCCCAGCTTTTCCAACAGGCCAGCAGTGTTGACCTGGAGTAGTGATCCCACTGCTCCGGCCTGATGCACGACATTTAGAATGCAGAGATGGGGAGAGTACTCAGTGATGATCCCGTCCAGCCAACCCTGTCATTGTGCAAATGATGAAACTGAAGCCAGGAGGGGTGCCAATTATCATTCTTTTACATTTCACAGTTGGAAATTGAAGAATCCAACGGAAAGCAAGATGAAAAGGCAAGGGTGTACCTATTGATCCCAGATCCAGGGAGCCATCATTTGTCAGTAGACCTGCCTTCAGATGTTCCATAGGGTCTTCAGAGTTTACAGAACAACTTAAGATCACTCCAAACCAGGTATTGTCTCAATAAATACATGGAGTTAAGGCCAAAAGAACCTGGCTTAGCACTTAGCTGATTTCCATTCTCACCAGAACTCCCTTCTAAGCCTGGATAACGTCACATAATGTTAGAAACTACCCTACAAAGATCTGCTTCTTTACCTCTGCAGGGCAGCTGGAGGCTTAAATTGGCAGCCCTAATCAGAGCAAGAGCAACACAAATCCACAAACCTCAGTGACTCTGTTTTCACCCATTCTAGATTGCTTTCTCTCAAATTTAATTGCCCGAATTTTAGTGCCTGTGATAAGAACTCAGGTGTATTATCACACACCTCTGGAATCCCTCCACTGATTAAGGGCTGTGCCCTAGAAGTGACGACAGCAGGATTTGGCTAATAACAAGTGCAGAGTTTTCTCAGCACTGCCAGGATCTTCACAGAGAACGCCCGCTGTGCATACTCCACGGAGCTGGCTTGATTTCAGCATTTTTAACACCCTATTGTGATATACTGTTCATCTCGAACAAAGTCCCTGTCCAAGCATGCTTTGATGTTTCATGTAATAAGCTGCAAAATTCAGGATTTAAATATCAAATGTGGAAATCCATATTTTTCTTTTTTATTCTGTCATTTTGTCTTTAATCACAAAAAAGCACGGTGAACAGAGTGGGGTGGGGTTGTGAGAATGTTTTTCTTTTTTAATACTTTTATATAACTTGAAAAATTTCCACAACGAAAATTTATTATATTTATGAACCAGAAAAATGTTTTAAAGAATCTCACCAGGTGTAGTAGGAATTCTTGGGCCTCTGAAGGGCTTTGTGACATTAGATCTTAGTAACTCCCTCACCTCGAAGATGAAGTGAGACACTATGACTTCCAGGTTGTTGGCTACATTGAGGTTTTATGACTCTATGAAAGATCGAAACTCATCATCATTAAAAATGGATTTGTAGGGCCTGGGGGATGTTTTTCATATTCGTTTTATTGTTAAAACGCCCAGATTTGGAGCTGGAACGCTCTGAGACGTCTCTACTTGAGGAGTTAAAGGGAAGGCAGGTGGTCCTCTAGGAGAGGGGGAGGGGGCTGTTATTAACACTCCTGTGATTTCTGCTTCTTTGGTGTTTTCCTCAGTGTGACTAACTGAAGTGCTCTTTGTTCTTTGTTCCAGAGTCAGAGACATCCCTGCCACGTAGCACATAGATTTATAACTCGGTGCAAAGGTTTCTACAAATACGATTTCTTCACTCCAAAGTCCATCTATGCATGCTCCCCAAAATAAAGAACAGTGTATTTCTGTCTGCTGGCCTCTAACCCCAGGACCCTGGGAGCAGGGGCAGGAGGAGTTCCAAAAAGGTCTTCTTATAGCTCTGGCAATAATGACTAGCTCAAACAGGCTGGCACTGCTGTCGAGACATCCAAGGACTTTTTTATTTATCACTCTCTTTTTTTTTTCCAACTGAGATAGAGTCCACACTGACACAAGCAGTCCAGAAAAAAGAAACTGTGTCTCTTGAAACTTTTACTTAGGTGGTGTAAATGGGAAGATCATAACCCAAAGATTTGGTGAAAATACACTTCCTATCCACACAATCCGTTATAATGTTGCAATTGAAAAGTTCTACTCAGAGAAAGAGAATGAGTTCAAACAAACAAACAAATAAAAAAACAGACAAGATCTGGGATTAGGTCTGATGATCTGGAACATAATAAATTTCTGATTCCATATCTGGGATCCGGGTTCATAGTCTGGGACATAAATCTGAATCTTCAGTGGCTGTATTACCCTGCCCCCCACCATCTCCTCCCATGAAGATAGGCAACAGTGAAGGTGCTTGAATTCTTTCAGGCCCCGTGAGTGTCACTGAGCAATTTTTTTCTTTAGCATCTCACATAAACACTGCTGAAATAACAGATAAACTTCACCTGGGTGCCTGACTAGGGGAGTGTAGTTCAAATATCTGAAGTCCACGTGACAATGCCATCTGAGGAAAACTTGACTTAAAGCCAATGTAATGATACTAAACCCACTCTTCTGAGCAATTTTGTATAAGGCATCCATTTGAGAGCTCAGCCCAAATACTAGTGGAACTCAGTATTATGTTACAATCTGACTTACCACAACGTCTTGCAGCAGAGTCCAGGCAGGTATGGTGTTAACCTTTGAATCATGTAATCTGGGCAGGAGCCAACCGGCCTATGGAACCCCTGAAAATGAAAAATTACCCTCCAGAGATGGGAAAGTGTGCGTGCCTTGGAAACTGTGATAAGAGGCTCTTGGAAACTGACAACCACATGAATGCCTACAATTTCTTCTCTATTGAGAAGTTCACTGTCTAGGGGGGAAAGCACATAAAAAATAACAATCATAAAAAAAATAATTTAAGTGCTATATTAAAGGTATGTTCAGGGTGCTGTCAGGACCCAGAAGAGGGACACCTCATCCAGCCAGACATTGAGGGCCAGGGAAGGCTGCCACTATGTCTAGTTATAAGAAATTCAGATACAGTTGGTGCATCTTGCCTTGAATGACACTTGTCTTCCAAATAAATCAAACTCTTCCCAGAACCCTTCCGCAAGACTTAACTCTTCTCATAAAAGCTCTATGTAGTTACTCACCTGCATCCTCAGTGAATGCAAGAAAGGTCAGAAACGTATCCATGTTCAGACACAGGCCAGTGTCATTGCTTTTTAACCCATGGTCCACTGCCCTGTCTACTGAATGAACTACTGAATTAATATTCTTCCCTACATGTTTTTCTTTAAAAAGCCTGTTCTTTCCTGTCTTCCAATCTGAGCCCCTACTTCTCTTTCCATTATTCTTAACACATCTCTATCTAACCACTTAGACAAACTGTTTAATTTCATATGACATTGTTTTTTCTGGAAGATAAAAGCATAATTGCCTTAGATAATCTTTTTTGTTACGTTATGCAAGATTTTACTTCACTTGATATTTGCTATTTTCCCTTCCTCATCTTCTGCTTACTTCCAGGAGGTCTCCTGAATAGTCTGTGCTCAAGCAGCACCAGCCTGGAAGTTATTTTCAGTATTCAGTCTCACTTTATAACTAAAAACCTAGAAAAGTTTTCATTTCCTTTCAAGTTACCTGAGTTCAGTGAGCTGAGAATTGGAGAATGGGCTCTATGTGGGGCTGCTTGGAGGCCTCAAGGCCCTGAAAGTGAATGCCATCTTCTAATTGCCTGACAAAGCTGTTTATCTTCCACAGCTTAGCACTTTACATGCAGGACAGGGTCTGACCAGCCTGACTCATGACAAAATTAGGCTGGTTATTAGAAACCTCTTATCCTTTTATCCTTTCTTATTGGCAATGTTCATGTGTTCATTATGTCTCTGGACTAAAGAGGACAACGGAGCTCAGGAATTACAAGGATGGGCCCTTTCAATTGCAGGCTGGGGTTATGCCAAGAGTATCCTCTGAATGTATTCACTGTCCTACAGTGGGTCTCTTAGAGTGCCATGATTTGTTGTTGAATAAGGGCCATACTCAAGGATTTTCAGCCTGAATTTGGACACAATGCAGGGTCACTTCAATTATCTTGGAAATGAGAATGGTGGTAGCCAGTAAAGAGACTATTTTGGAATAAGATAATAACATTATCCAAAATCACTTCTAGTTTGAAAGTAAATATTATGAACCAATTGATATGATTATGCAGATTTTCTTGTTAGATTTGCTAATGTCGTGAATTATACCGACAGAATTTTTAATAGCTCTGTTGAGATATAATTCACATACCATACGATTCACCCAATTAAAACAGAAATTCAATAGTTTTTAGTATAATCACAGAGTTGCATAGCCAGCACCACAATCTAATTTTACAACATTTTTATTACACCAAAAAGAAATCCTGTATCCGTTAGCCATCACCACCCTATTTACCATTTCACCTCAGCCCTCAGCAACCACTAATCTATTTCCTGTCTCTATAGATTTGCCTATTATAGACATTTCATACACATGGAATCATATAATATGTGGTCTTTTGTGACTGGCTTCTTACATTTAGCACAATGTTTTTAAGGTTCATTCTGTTGTATCATGTATCAAGGCTTCATTCCTTCCTATTGCCAAAGAATATTCCACTGTATGGATATACCACATTTTATTCATTCATTCATCAGTTATTGGACATTTGGATTACTTCCACTTTTTGGCTATTATGAATAATGCAGCTGTGCACTAGACTGCTTTAATTCTGATAACCTGGATATCATGAGTAGTAAAAAAAATTTCCTGGACAACACTTCGAAAGCAAAATTGCAAGTAAATTTTCCATTAATCATAACATCCTAAGATTTTTTCCTGATTCAGACAAAGTGGTAGGTAGATTCGCTATTCTTGTAAATTATTTCTACATAGCATGTCTCAGAAGCACTTAGGGAGAAATGGTATAGATTTCAAAATTTAGCGTCCGATCTGAATCTTATAAATCTGGGCTGTCCAATGTGATGGCCATTCATTATACGTGGTGTTTACAATTAAATTACTTAAAATAAAATACTTAAAATTCAGGTTCTCAGTTGTACTAGCCACATTTCAAGTGCTCAATAGCCACATGTGGTTTGTGGCTATTGTATCGGATGTTTCCTTCATTGCAGAAAGTTCTATCAGACAGATTTGTTCTAAAGCAGAGGTTCTCATATGGTGGTGACTTAACCCCCCAGAGAAATGTGGCAACGTTTGGAGACATTTTGTTTTTTACAACTTGGGGAAGGGAAGAGACTACTGGTATCTAGTGGACAGAGGCCAGGAATGCTGCTAAACATCACATAATGTACCAGACAGCCTCCACAATAATTAGCCATCCAAAAATGTCAATAGTGCCAAGGTTGAGAAACCCTGTTCTAAAGCAATGATGTCCAAACTTGGCTAGCTTTTTATCAAAAAATCAAAAGAATCACCTGGTCAGCTTTTTAAAAATCCATATGCCTGAGTCCCACCCCTAAGTTTCTGATTAAAGAAGTACAAAGAGAATCCAGGGATCTGTGTTGTTCAAAAGCTTTCCAAGTGAATCTTCTGATTGGCCACATTCAAGAACTTTTGTGTGAAAGTAGACTGACTCTCAGCTCTTAATTCAGAAGAAAATCACCTGGTAAACATTAGCAGTACTCCCAGACTAGATTAACGGCTCCAAGGCCATTACCTCTTCTGTTTAATTTCTCCAATTACCTATCTCTCAATTAATGGGGTCATTAAGTACTTAAGACTTGCATTAATTTCCCTCCTCTTTTTTTAAATTCTTTCATTCTGCATAAATCCAGTTTGCAAATGATTACATCTTGTTAATCATTGTACACTTTCTGTTTACAAACAGAACAAATGACCTAGAAAATGTTTGGCAGCTGTCTTTGTTCACTGGCGTTTAATGGAAAATAGCTAAGCAAACTGTGCACTAGCCCTGTAGGTGGCACGGCATGACATATTATTGTCCATTCCTTTGCTACCGACTAACTTAATGTATGACAGTGAAATTCATTTTAAATGGTTTGACGTTGTGTACTTTAAGATCAATATAATTCTGCTGAACTTAGAAAAGTGTAAAAATAAATTAATTTTAGCTTTAAGACATTTTTTTCAATTTTCTACCATTCTGTAACAAATTACAAAAGGAAACAGTCCCTGCTCTTTAGAAACTTAAAAGGTAATAATGGCAAATAAGACATAAACACAAGTATTTATAAGAAAAGATGTTAAATATTCTAAGAGGATACAAATTTGAGAGGAAGAGATCCTTCTGGTTGGAGAGATCTGGGAAATTTTCACAGAAGTAGCAGCATCTTTAGCTTTCCTTTCTCTCATTCAATAAATATTTGCTGGTGCCTACCTCATGCTACGTCCACCATTTTAGGAGCTGGGGATAAGTAGGCACAGCCATCCCTCTATTCATGGAATTTCATTTCCTGGAGACTAATTAATCAGCCAAAAATTATTTATCACATGCCTACTGTGAGCCAAGCATACAGACTGGCAATGATGATTCAAAATAACCAGTGTTAAGATATGGGAAGGACATGGTCCCTTTAATTACTGGCTGGATTTTTATCTCATGAATCCGCCTTTCTAAGCACAGACATTTCTCTGACCTCATTTGCAAGGCCAGGGTCATAGAGCACTCACTCACACTTAGCAGTAATTTAATCATGACATTGAATTTAGCAGCCACTGTTTAGTAACATGTTGCAATCACCCAGTGGATGGCTAGTGTTAACTCTGGCATCCTCCAAGGAATCAGAAAGGACTGCAACTAAGACCCCCCTGACAGGATACTCATTGTTAATACCTCTGAGGAAGGTTTCTGATAGAACTAATGAGTATTGACTCTTGTCTGTAAATCTGATAGTCTATTGTGAGATTATTCAGGAATATGATCACTATACGGTGCACTTTGTCATGTGAAGTTGATAGCATGGTTGGCTTTATTCAACCTCAAAATAATTTTAAATTACAAAACATTTTGAATGTACCAAAAGTACAGAAAATAACAGACACCTACATGTACTCGCCATAATGCCTAAAAGATAATAACATTTTGCTTTTTTTGCCTTCAGTTCTGTCTCTTTGTCATTTTCTCTGGGACACAATGAAATGAAATATTAAAGATACAGCTATAAAGTCCCCTTTGCACCACCCACCCCTCCAATTCCTTCAGACTTCCTTCCTCCCAGAGGAAACCAATATCTTGAAATTGTTTAACTGGCATTCTAATTCTCACGTATTAAACGAGAATTAAAAATGAATTTTTTAATTAAAAAATGAAATTTAAAATTTAAGTTAAAATTTTTTTCTATATATGTATGCATGCACAAACAATATATACTATTAGTTAACGTTTACATAAATGTACCATATTGTACAGATCCTTTTGCAACTTATTTTATTTCAAAGTTATATTTTCAAGATTTTTAGGTATATGTAGATTCATTCACTCATTTTCACTGCTTGGCAAGAGTCCCTCCATTCAACCTTATCTGTAGTTCAGGTCTCTTTTCCCTGTAACAGTGTTTATGGGCCATTCCTTTTCTTGATCAGTCCTGCAAGAGGTCTGTATACCTTATTAGTTTTTTCAAAGATGGACTTATTGTTTTTTCTATTTCATTCTTTTTTTTCTATTTATTTATTTGTTTTAAATTTTTTAAATATTTACTTTTTATTGACGTAACATTGGTTTATAACATTATATAAATTTCAGATGTACATCGTTATATTTCAGCTTCTGTACAGACTGCATCATGTTCACTACCAAAAGTCTAATTACCATTCATCACCATACACATACGCCCTTTACCCCTCTCACACTCCTCCCACCCCTTCCCCTCTGGTAACCACCAATCTATTCTCCTCATCTATGTGTTTGTTTATCTTCCACATATAAGTGAAATTATATGGAATTTGTCTTTCTCTGATTTATTTAGCTTAGCACAAAGCCCTCAAGGTCCATCCATGTTGTCACAAATGGCAAGATTTCATCTTTTTTTATGGTTGAGTAGTATTCTATTGTCTCTCTCTCTTTCTCTATGCCACATTGTCTTTATCCATTCAT